AGATCTCTCGCCGTCGCAATACGGCAATTCTGCAATGTCAAAGATCAAATGCTTCGATGCTGGCGCGCGGACTTTACGACGGCGACGGGGATGTAAATGCCGTCGTCTGTCACCGCTAATGTTGTCGCGTGCGACAAATCGAGAATCGCTCGAAAAGCTCGTAGCCAAATACGGAGACGGCGCGCATTTCGCATACGGAGACGGCCAAATCTTTATTACTGTATTTCAGAGCCTCTTTTTACTAAGTCAGGTATAACAGAATGGAGTGGTCTGTCGATTAGTCTGACAGTGCGCCAAAGTGAGCGCACGCGAATATCTCTGTACGTTCATTGTTCCGACTTGTTTTTGGAGTGAAGTGGTAAGCTCAGGTTCCATAGACGATTATCTTTCATCTAAAAGCCAGACTGCGGCAAAGTTATGCCAAAAAATACGAGAAACAATGAAACTGTTCATCTTTTGCTAGTGTGAGACAAAACGCAGAACCCATCGCTCGCGAAGCTCATTTTGGCTCATTGTCAAACAGAGACTAATCGACAGATCTATGTTATACTTGACCTTAATAAAGGAAGACTCTGAAATATGATTGTAAAAATTTGCCTTTGTGCTAACTTTATATTAGGCTACGAACTTTTCGAACGACTCACGTAAGAGCGTTCTAACATTAATGTATAAAACACTTGCACAAGATATATATATATATATATATATATATATGCATACACATGTCGATAATATTACGATGTCTTTTCGTTTCACAAAGTCTACACCGAATCTGTTTATCTCAAATTTACCGCAAACCGGTTTCGAGAATGCACGCAAATGAACGCAACTGTGACTTGGGACATCCTATATATTTATACGACAGCTCCTTTGTTTCGCGACGTAGAATATCATCCGTCCATTAGTTACACGCAATTAACATTCACCGTATAGTCGATTGTCACAAATTCTTCCTACCCACAGCTTGACTTGCCAACGACAGCGCTGTACGCTCTCTCTCGCGCGCGCGCGCACGCACGGATAATGAGTTAGCATAATGCGTCATTGAACGCCCGCTCGCCGGCGAGAAATATTTCTTTCGTTTTCTCCGACACGACTTACATAAGCTGTCTTACAAAAGTGTGCGTGGCCAGTTACGTAATGGCCCGAATTTATCACTTTCCCGCGTCACGCTTTATATAGGACGCGCTATCCCTCTATAATAATGTCGTGTGCGTATGTGCGTGTTGCGCGCTCGAAAACCTCATAAATATTAATACAGTAGCATAAGTAGAGCTATGCGTAGTAAGGCCGCGCGCTCAATAAGGCCGCCTAGTGTCGAGGCACCACGTTGTAATATTCCCAGCTGTTGCGCGAACATTGGAAAGAGAAAATTCGCGACGTACACGTATTTTCAATTAATTTGCTGGCGTTTCTCGAGATGCGCTCGTTTGCAATTAAAATTTCTATCGAGCTCACGCGTGACCACTCTCCCTTCGTCAATATATGTAAACTGATGCGTATTGCAGGGAGAGAGAAAGGCGAGGTCAATTGTTATTGTTCTGTTATGCTACACAGTAGTTGCGTCGAAACAAAATATTTAATTGTACGTAAAATGCTAATGTATATCTAATTGGATAAACGATAGAACATGATGAAAATGTTGTTATTAAGGTGAAAAAATATTCAATTATTGACATCCCCTTAAACATTAACGCTCTAGAACGAAACCTGGTTTTTCATACCACCAGCGTCGCAGGTAAATTTCTTGCCTTGCACTTAATGATTCCAAAAGAGAACTCCATAAATAAAATTGCGAACAACCGCCGGCGATCACAAGAAAAGCCAGATTTTTCTAGAATGCCAATGACTAAGAGCGATCAATAATTGGCTGTTTCGCTCTACTTGTACAAACAGCTGATTCGAAATATTTACCCGAAGCAATGCGTATGTGCGTCTCATTAAAGAGACCATCTTGAAATTTTGACGTAAACACATCAATAAAGGGAAGGAGCAAGATGTAATTAGTATTGGCCGCGACTGAGAGATACACGAAGGGTGCATTCGCCGAAGTGAAGTCGACCAATTAGCAGTCTCAGATTTGTTTGCAGCATCGTTCGCCACAGCGAAGACATGACTTCAGCTTGTTAGCCTAATTTGCAAGCAATCACGGTTAGACGTTAAATTTATTGCAATTTGCTCGAAATACGTCGAGATTATTGCGCAAAAGAGGTAAACGCGCGGCATTAAAACGCACGACACTTGTTTCATTTCCGTTCGAGCGAGATGGAATCTCGTATAGTCTCGGTGGGTATAGTCGCGCGCGAACACGCCGGTCGTCCTGGAATGAGGGTTAAGGTACTAAAGGTCGCGACGTTAGTAATAACAAATGATAATCAGTAGGATGCGCGATAAACAATGCGGCATACCACCCATGAAGCCGGGAGCAGCTTCTCGTTAATTAGATTTTTTGATTAACTGTATAAAGCTGAGACTCGCTGGGACTCGCTGCACTGCGCGGTGCGACCGAGGCAGACGGTCGCTGCCGCACGTGTTGCACACGCCTGTGCACACGCACACACTCGCACGTGTGCTCGTGGATCCAGTGCATTCCACCTCGTAATAGGCGGACCCTGAGGCTCGGAACTTTTCGTCCCACGATACATTTCGGGCCGAACGAAAGAGTTGCAGCGTTAGCTCTTTAATACATCGCTCTTTAATACCGATAGACGACAAGGCAATTTGCTCCGAGCTTAGAAGAAATAGGAAAGAGATGGAGAAAATTTATGTAACTATAAAGGAAAGATGAGAAAAGAAAACTCGGAAAGTAAGCACGGTGTAGAGTTCAAGATTACTATCGAGATTTTAATGTCTCAAGGCTTATTTTAATTATTTCTATAATTTGGTAAAAGGTTCAATTATATGAGCTAGAGATCGTGCATTCATTCTGAAGCAGAAATGCACGCTTTCGAGGGTTGATTTTCTCATGTCGGTTAAATACCGTTTCACGCCGCTTTCGAACGATAGTACTTTCACGTTATCGCGGGGAGAAAAGTCGTCGCGATATTTTTGTTGCGAGACGATGAAATCGAGAAACTAGTTTGCATGCATTACTGCGACTTGCTCAGCGAAGTCTGAAGAAAACGCGTAACTGCACCGTGCGAAAAAAAAACACGACAAATTTGTTTTTATTTTAATGCCAATCATGCCTTGCCTTTCGCTCGTGATCTTAGGCGAGTGAAACGTTTGGTTGGAAAATGCGGGGAATGTCTACGGCTAGGTGAGCAGCAGGAAATAGGAAGAGATAACGCAGATAATGGGAAACGAATAAACGCCAGCTGAAATGGATAACTGTAGCGCATAATATGTATTATTCGGCTAATTCTCCGCGATGGCCAGGTCGCGTAACATTTGCGCAAAGATTGCGGGAAGCAATTAGTAGTGGTAGTCTCCCGTTAATGCCGCGTGCGTAATAAGTTAGGAATAGCGCGGCCGTAAATACACACATTAAGTACTGAGATTCACCTGCGATATAATCGCACGCGATGGAAATCGACGAAAGAACGCGACGTGTGTCTGCAAGTAGTTGCTGCGCTATTCGATTCTTATTCCCTCTTTCCCGCAGTCAAGCGCAGGCGCTACAAAGATGTGACAAAATATTCGCGAGCGTCGAATGATCATCCCGATTCTTCGCGATCAGAGCATTATTGCGGTAAAACTAAGGAGCGACAAGAGAGCAAACATGAAGGAACACAACTCGAGAAAGGAAGAAAGTGCCTGAATATTGTTTGCCGCGCGTATGCTAATGCAAGTTTTGCTCCGTTGCAGCTGTGTGTCTCTTCAAGGTTTATGGATAATATATGCGTCCGCCGTTAAAAATATAAATTGATTTTGCATATTCATTGCTGAGAGAAGTCGCGGTTGCATGTAATTTGAGTCAGCACGGCATAACGTTGCAGAGTGTCGTTTCTCGTTTGATGATTTATGCATTTATGATTTTCTACCGCGTCAGGCATTATGCGTATTAACAAAGTGAACAAATAAGACGGGGAAGGGGGGAGGGAGAATGAATAACAAGCCGGTGCGCGCTTATCAAATCTCTCTCATCGAATCATTCTCCTAAGTTTCGCTTTTGACATCTAATTAGTTTACGCGTCTACGGTAGCGGTATCGTTTATTTGTTGCAATCGAACGTCTTTATCTTCGTTGGATTAATTGATGCGTATGTACCAAAGCGATTACTGCATCTTGACTTCTTCTAATTTATTAAACTCGCATTTTACATATGTCATTTGTCGATTGAATATTTATTGATCATCTTTCTTGCGTTCTCTATCTCTATCTCTCCCTCTCTTTTCTCTCTCTCTCTTTGTCTCTTGTTTTGATTTTATTTCACAAATGGTTCTCTTAGTATTGTAAGATAAAGGATATGTTAATGTGTATCTCGAGGGACATAACAGCAAATTTTGCCCTCTTGATTTATTGATTATGTATACGGAGAGAGGGGAGTATTCCAGTTTTATATCCTTTTACTCATTTTTAATTTCAATCATTTCCTTTCACTCATGAACTGTAAAATGAATTTCCTTTTACTTTCGATGATCTTTGGATATCGAATACTGGTTTCATTTAATTATATTCATGATAATAACCAAAAGACCGCGATACACGAACGAGACTCGATGACAAGCTGTTGAGCAATGCAAGTGGGAGTTAGTAGCCAGAGGTGACCTCATCGATTATTTTCTCGGACGTTACGCGATCTTGAAGCGATTCATTCGCACGAGTCGCGCGAGGTTTTCTTCGACGCCGAAACGTCAGGAATCCCACCTCGACGCTCGATGTGCACGACAAGTCCCATTTCTAATCCCAGCCCCCGCAATGCTGCTCGGTTTCCCGCGGAACCGCTCGACAGAGCACTACGACGTATCCGCATACAAACGCGCGGCTTCCGGCGCGCTCGCTGGCGCGTTTGAAACGTATCACGTCGGAATTCCGTAGGTTTCCGCGTACATACTCACCTGACCGACACCGAGCGCCACCAGGAGCCAGCAGCACACCGCCGCCGTCGACGGAAGCCTCCTCACCGGAGCGGCGGTCATTTTGCAGGATAACCCGCGCCCGCGTACTGACTGCGTCGCGTCGCAGAGCGTATCGCACTCTCGCCGAAGGCCAGTCTCTCACGTCACATTTTCCTCGTTCCCGGAGAAGAGTCTCATCGTATCCGCCGGGGTACCGTGACGATAATCAGCGCGCTCGCTCGCGAGGCGAGGCGACCACGAGGCGTGCCACGAGGCCGTTCTCCTCTCTCTCTCTCTCTCTCTCTCTCTCTCTCTCTCTCTCTCTCTCCTTCTCTCTTTCTGCCTTTCTGTCGCGGAACGCACGGAGGAACGCACGCACGCCCTTGCCAAGCGCGTCGAGTACTGTGCGCTTAACCGTCTCAACAGATCTCGGAAATCGCCTGGAAAATTCGACACGGTACGACCGCGACGAGGAAGATCGCTGGCGGGTGTTAGACTGGCGCAATAATGACTGCGCCCGGTCGAGCTGCTGCTGCTGCTGCCAGGGACGCTCAGGTGTTTGGCTGTCTGGTGGGGATGGACGTGGTCGCAGTGGCCACCATTCCCTCTTCGTCCAACGCTCTGTGCTACGCGATGCGGGCATTCATGTCTCCGGTTTCAGTCGAGCCGCGCTGCTTACTTGGTCGTGCCGTCACGAGAGGACGGTACGGATCGACCGACTGGTTGGTAACTGAGGTCTCTAGTATATCAACGAGGTAGTGGGCGCGCAGCGAATTGAGTTGGTGGGTAGACAGATCGCTTCTCTTCAAGCTGCAGAGATAGACTGTTGCTGAAAGCAAAAGGCGAACGAATGTCAGAGTGTTTCGACCAGCGCAAAACGATGTGTGCCCGAAGCAGTCACTTCTACAAATATTGATTAAGCCCAAAATTTCATAATTTCAATGATCAGACAGGAGCTGTGATGTTAGAGCGTGTGTTGTAACTGTGAGGAAACTTTGCATGAGGTTTCGCCCTTCTGGATCCTCTTACGCAAATAAGGATGTTTATTTAACTAACTGCGGCGTAAAATAAACCTTCATCCCTTTGTTATTCTTCAGTCTTCAGCAGGCGAATACATAATACATGCGGAGCTCTTATCCGTGCGCTAAATTTAGATCATATAAATCTCGGAAATAATGCAACCCGGATGCCCATCCTTCAAACGTGCGCGAAAACGATAAAAAAAATGAGACATACGACAAGCCGGCGCGTACTAAAACCGGTTGGTGGCGGAAAAATTGTAACAAACGACCCGCGCGCGAAGGCCCGAGCTAGACTGGTTCGACCTATCGCGATTAAAGCTGCAGCCGGTGCGAATCTTTGAAGCGCGCCTATCAGTTTCGAGGGTGGTTCGGCTATCCTTATCAAGCCCGTTCCGGGACAAGCGTTCGACGGGCGTTCGATTTGTCTGCTGCTGCTGCTCACGGTTTCGTATATATCATCTTCAACGGGCATTGTTCAAGATGCTACTTAAGACGTCACAAAGCGAACAAAGACTTCGTCTGGCAGACAATGGATGCGACCTGTAATCATTGGCGCGTAATGCGCGCATTGGCGACGAAAGGCGGACGTATCCGAGCGATCAATCATACATTCAGATGCATCGAGGGTTGAAGACGGAAGAAGCAGCCGCGACGTTCTTCTCCGGCAGAGGAAGTACGAAGCGAGAACAATGCGCACAACGCCGCGTCGCGAAAGCGCTGACCGTGACATCGATCGTAATTTTATCGCATGCGAATAATTCCGCCGATCGGACATGGCCGGGCAAGAACTGTCGCTCGATAACGGAGAACGTGTCGGGCCGCAATAAAGTGCGCAGCGGATTCAGCACGACCTTTACTTCATATCCGCGACGTTTCTTATTGCGAGCGCATTATCCGCAGCCCGACGAGAAGTCTGACGGCGTATGCCTTCTTGCCGCTCCTTCCGTCTGCGACCGGCGAGCTCGTCGAGAGGCATTCGAGAAGGAAGTTTGTCGCGTATCGATTGGAGTTTCCTTAAAACGCGCGCGTGTATGCCACGGTTGCGCTTCTTTGAGTGCAAAATATATGCATGCTACATGCAGGTATGCCTCCTCCTCTTCCGTCTCTTCACGGAAAGATCTCATCAAACATGCATTAAAGTTTTACATTCTTGATGACGTCGCCTTGACACTCGTTCTCCATCAGCACATATAGTTGTGATATTATCGATGAGGCGTCTCACCCTTAGCCGCGAACTCGAATAACTGTGCGGCGAAACAACAGTTGCTGGCGAACATCTTTTCCCACTAAATGCACTGACACTCGCTGTCCTATACTCGCGCAATTGTTTTATCCGGTGGGTGACGGTTACGCGAGATAAACGTGCTGGGAATCCACGAGACATTCCGCGGATCATTGACTTGCTCGGAACACAGCTCGGTTCTTTCCAGAAAATGTTTCTATAACGTAACTTCAACATCGTATACTCTGGCGCGCCGCCGTTGCTGAAAGGCAAAACTTTTCAATAAAAACTTCGACTTCATACAACAGTCGGACACACTAGAATCTCATAGATGTCGGAGCCCACGTTCTTAATAACGCTCGAGCGTCCATTCAATCCCGAGCACGTACATCTCCACGTTTCCTCGAACGTGGTCCACTCCCGGAGAAGAAAACATCACCTTCTCCCCATCTCGCCATCGATTTTCCGGCTTGGTGTGGAGTTCTCGAAAAAAATATCTTCACCCCCGAAATGGCCGTCCCGCTTTCCATGAGGGGACGGCGCTCCCCATGTCGAAGGTAACAGTCAAGAGGGTGCGAAAGGATGCGAAATTACGTAAGGAAAGCGTGCTTCATCTCCAGTCGGCAAGTAGGCGGCCCGTGTTTGACATGCACCGAACAATCTCGCACGAATACCAACGGGTAGGCGAGGGTGGCTTGCTTTTTTTTTTATATCCCTCATCCCCCGTGTCGCTCAGCACCTCTCATCCCTCGGCATTACCCTCGCGCCAAGTTGTACGCGCCGTGACGGGATGGAGGGTGCACGCGAGCGGTCCCCGAGAGCCCTGCTATCGAGAGGGGCGGCGAGGAGGGGGGGTCGAAGATAAGGGGTTGCGCAGGCGTCGGCGTATCGACCGTGGTAGCCCTCCGGGCGACACCCTCGCGATTCTCCGCCGAGCCTCACTGCTTCATCGGCAAACTAGTGGGTAGTACACGCACGCGACACAGGTAAGTGCTCACACTGTACTCTCGGACTAGAGCCGTGCGCTGCCATTGTCGGGACGAGGCTCCCAGTTCCGCGAGAGCATCGATCTCGTCGGCGCAACGGGGGCGACGGTTCCGCGAACACCCGCGACGAATTCCCACTTCGTGCCTCGTCCGCACGCGAAAATCAGTCCTCGGCGCGACTTCGACCTCGCGGAGTACACGAAGTGACACATTGGTGGCGCGCCACCACCTTTCACGTGACGGTCGTCTTCGCCGAGCGGGGTAGTTCCGTTCGCCTCTCTCCGGGTAGTTTCAGTCAGTACGCTCCGGATAGTCCCTCTCTGCTCGTGCCGTGCGTCACGGAGGTAGCCGGAGCAGCGTCGTAAACGCGGGCGTAACGATCGAAATCGACGCGATCGAGAGCGGTGACTGCTTGTCGGAGGCTCGAAGATTCGAGATAACGTCTTCGCGGGCGAAATCGTCCAGGTAAGATATTTTTGGCCGCTCGCCAGCGCTGAAACGCGATGGCCGAGGTCGGCCCGAGCGCGGACGGCTGTTGATGAAGCGGGATCGTTACTCTCCGCGCTGAGAACGAGGGTGGTTAGTTGGTACGTTTTGCTAGGTAGACGAACACGCTGCTTATCGGGATTTATGTCCATTGCGCAAGATCCCGGGTGGCCAGAGTGCAATCAATGTTCAGTCATATAATAAATAGTCTGGGTATAGCCGGGACGGGAAACAACGGGACAATTTATGTCGCCGACGTCGGGTCCCGCGAGAAGCCGGAAGATGGAAGGGCGCGTTTCTCACTAAGCGCCGGGTCTTCATTGATTTTGCTTTTTGTTCGGCGAATTTCACTTCGCGGCCGAGCCGCGGCGAACACATCGCCCTACCTTCTGTCGTGACGTTAATCAAAGCCGCTTTTTCTTGCGAAGTTGCAGTCATGGCCGCCCCGACGGATCTTAACGATCAGCGTAAACGCGCGTTATGAGAGATTCTCTTTTGTGCGACGGCGGTGTTCTGTCGTGCGTTTAATGCACCTACCGGAGAGAAGTTCTTGCGCACTTAAATTTATCTTCGCGAAAAAAATCCTTAAGAACAACCGCATCATCCTTCATATCCTCGCACACTCCGCCACTTTACTGTAAGATCTCGAATTTTCGCGACGTTCAGAGCACACACGCGTTACGCAACTACTTGTAACGCTATAACTTTGTTCGCGAATTCCAATCCGAGCGGGACACCTGACAGATGATCGGCAACAGAAAAGATCGGGCGATACCACGCGAGAATTTCATTACACTTAATACCAGGATTCCAAAGCGAGTTGGATGCTGGGATTAAAGCAGTACGTGCAACGCGGCGATCCTCTAGAAGACGTTTAATCTCTGTAATTACGCAAATTGCTGGTCATACAATATGCACGTCTCGTTGCAGCCGGGATTAATCAGCGAGATTAATTTTCATTGTGCGACTGTTTTACGCATTCGCATTTATTTGAAGACAACTCTTTCTCTCACGAGAGAAACACCATTTTCTTCTGGTTTGACACTTGGCATTCATCGCGTGGCCGTTCGTTCGAATCCACCAATTGAACCGCGAAGTTTTCTCGCTCGAGCAACTGAGTACCAAGGAAATTAGGTGTTGAAGATTGCTGCACGCTAAGTTGGCCGGTTGATTCCGCGAACCATGGGCGTCGCTATTATCGGAGAACCTTGCAAGAAACAAATATGAGCGCGCCTCGAACGTATCATTGCTTCTCCTCGATGCTTCTTCTCCCGCCGCGTGAGCATAGAATTAGCCCGTGAGCTCTCTTCAAGGAAGATACGCTCTGGCCGCCGATAAGATCGGGACGGGCAGGCCGTGGAGGTAGCGTTTTCGTACCGCGCGTATGTTCCGGGAATACATAAATGCCGGCGAGGCAGCGCGCGCGAAGCATTTCAGAGATTCCAAGCGAAATCGCGGGGTCCGAGTATCGATTTTCGCGGGCGTTATGCAGAACGAGTCGTTGGCCGCACCGGTTACATCCAGTCATTTTTATTCCCTGATGCGCGATGAGAGAACGTGACCTAGCGCTCCGAGTGCTCTTCATCGCCGTATCATGCGTATTGGAGAGACTGACATTTTATCAACGCTCGAAGAACTTTTGAAGTTCCGCAAACTCTTGTTCTCTCTTCATTTCTGAACTTCGTCGCTCACTTTCTCCCTCCGTTTCGTCCGCGTTAACTGTTTTAAACTTCGTGCTCTTTAATATTAATTAAATATCCCCGTGCACACACACACATATATATACACACACACACACACATACCGAGTACCGTATTACACGATCGAAAGGTTAAACCTTATCGAGTTTTTGACGTTGCTTTTATTAGCGTAATAATGCGCGCAGACCTGTGCACAAAGCACGGCATAAAGAAGGTCACGCGGAGTTCGCTTTACGGTCTTACCTTGTTTCCGATACGGCGCAGGACCCAATTACGAAGAGATGTGCCACAATAAAAGTGTGTCGTTCCGCGGTCGTTTCACTTGATTCGCTCGAAATGGAAGGGAAAGCTCTTTAAATTAGATCCATAAAGTGTGCGAAAGCTCCCGCGACGTATTCGCGCACATTCGAATCGAATAAGCTGTAATTCGTGGGAAAATGGCGGCGAATTAATTCGTGTATATTAAACCAAATCCCTCTAATTCTGTTCGAGAGCTATCGCGATTTCTCGCGTATCGCACTTAATTGATACAATTACTCGAATATTCGCAATACGATACGATCGAAATTCCCTTGGATCGCAGTTCACGGCTAAAGTCGCACTTGCCAATTGCCTTCTGCTCTTTACCTGTTGCAGGTTTCAACTTGGATTGTTTATTTTCTCCTTCCTCACCTCCTCTTATTTCATCCTTTCCTTTCGGGTTACCTTACGTTGAAGTTTATCCCGCAACGCATCGAACAGAGAGAGAGAGAGAGAGAGAGAGAGAGAGAGAGAGAGAGAGAGAGAGAGAGAGAGAGAGAGAGAG